TCCTTCATTTCTCTTTTCTATACCTCTCTCTCTCTTTCTCAGTAGTTTGTAACTATTGGTCAGTCTTTACAGATAAGTGTTTCTGTACTCAAACTAAAGGACACTCGACTGATTTTTAAATCTTTTCCCAAGGCTGAAACTTTTGGTAGTTCAAAGCAACAGCATGTATTTGTAATTTGAGTTTTATGAGATTAGGATTTATAAATAATTTCTTAGTTTGTAATAGCTAATATATTATAAAATATTAAATTAGTTGACAATGTGGAAAACTTTTCATTTGAAGGAAAAAACACATCTGTTATCCATCCATTTCTAAAACAATTTCCCAAGTATTAATTAATTTTTTGGGTCAGATGTATCAAAGTAAAATTTATTTATAGTAAAGTCCACTTCTTTTTAAAAAAATTTTTTTTTAGTTATACATGGACACAATATCTTTATTTTGTTTATTTATTTTTATGTGGTGCTGAGGATCGAACCCAGGGTCTCTCATGTGTGAGGCGAGCACTTTACCACTGAGCCAAACCCCAGCCCCCAAATCCACTTCTTTAAGAATATAGTTCAACGAGTTCAGAGAAATGTGTTCAGTGGAGTAGCCATCACCATTAACAAAATACAGAACATGTTCCAATACTCTCAAAGTTTTCTCATGTTGCTTCATCCTTACCCCCAGTTGCTGGCAACCACTAATCTATTTTCTGTCCCTGTGCTTCCATCTTTTCTTATCATATCTGTGGACCTATCTAGTTCCCATATATTCTCATCACCACACAAGGAAAACTCTGTATGAATCAATCATGTCATTCCCTATTCCCTAACAGTACTGCCTGCATTTGGCAATTAGATATTAGTCTACTTCTGTTTCTACCTATTCTGGATATCTCATGACTTTTTGCATCTGGCTCCTTTCACATTTTCCGTGTTATAACATGTAGCAGCACTTCATTATTTTTATGACTGAGTGGTATTCCATCGTAGGAGTTTGTACTGCATTTTATTTATTTATTTTTATATTTATATTTTTTTAGTTGTAAATGGACACAACACCTTCATCATTCATTTATTTTTTAAACCTGGTGCTGAGGATTGAGCCCATGGCCTCACCACACATGTGAAGAAAGCGCTTCATCACTGAGCCACAACCCCAGCTCCTTATTTATTTATTAATGGATTGTTTTATATAAATTTATATAAATAATATATATTTATGCATGATAATTAAGGTTGTTTTCATCCATTGAATAAGGTTTTGTAACCACAAGAATGCAGCAAGGAATGGAATAATAGGGGTAATTGAAGCAGTGTGAGATTCTGTAAGTCACAGCCATGAGTGTTCAAGTTGTATTTGGAGTCTGTGTCTGCAACATGCACTTCAAGTTCTTAACAACTGGTCAAGGCAAATCTGGCTTCAAGTAATGAAAGACACTTTTCTCCATTACTTACTAATACTAAAACATGTGTGTTGAGAGGATAGGAAGAAAAGGAGTTGGTGCTTAGGCAAGGATTTTTCTTAAGCACCTTTAAGAGGGGATTGGCTAAGATTTTTTATACAAAGTCCCACAGCAATTTGCACCTCAAAGTGGGTTGCCTCTCAAATACTTCCTCCCAAACATCACACAGTAAAAGGGAGTGAATCCCTATCACTCATGCAGATGTTATATTATGCTCCTCTAGTATGTCTGTTTTTATGTAAGAACAAAGCAAGTGATTTATCAGGACAAAGTATATGCCATAGAAAGATGTGAAAGCCTTATTTTGGATGATTTGTACCTTACATATTATCTGGTCAGCCTGTGGGGTATGAGGTATCTCAATTATACTTAGTACTACCTATGTCAGGGGATACCAAAGAACTTTGTTGATTGGAACTTCTTGTTCCTGAGGACCATGAAGGAATGGATTATCCCATTGGTGTATGTAACCTGGTAAAATGGCACATATTGTGGAACTTTACAATACTACACTAAATTATGATGTCTCTGTGGATTAAAGCGAATTATGATGGCTTTCAGAGAAGATTTCCTCTAAATAAGTTAAATTAACAAAAAACAAACCCAGGAAAGGAAATATGCAAAATGGATTCAGAAAGACACATTTAAAAGAACTTATTGTAAAAAAATTTTGACTGGTACTAAGATGTCTTTGCAGTTGTGACATAAAAAATTCTGGTAGTCTTTTTTTTTTTGAGAGAGAGAGAGAGAGAAAATTTTTTTTTTTAAATATTTATATTTTTAGTTTTCGGTGGACACAACATCTTTGTTTGTATGTGGTGCTGAGGATCGAACCTGGGCTGCACGCATGCCAGGCGAGCGCACTACCGCTTGAGCCACATCCCCAGCCCAAAATTCTGGTAGTCTTAAGTGGGATTTTTAGTTAAATGTTTTCTTTTCTGTGAGATCTGATTTTGTTGTTTTTCATACATGTTATTCCAAAGTTATGTTTTTGTTTATGATGAAAGATATTAACCTTTCTGTTGCTGGGAGAGTTCTGAGTCTCTAAAAATATTATCATTTTTTTTTTTTTTAGAGAGAGAGAATTTTTAATATTTATTTTTTAGTTTTCAGCGGACACAACATCTTTGTTTGTATGTGGTGCTGAGGATTGAACCCGGGCCGCACGCATGCCAGGCGAGCGCGCTACCACTTGAGCCACATCCCCAGCCCCTCAAAATATTATCATTTTTGTGTCACATTATTCTAGTTATAATAGTGTACTTCTATATTGCATAAAATACTTTTTTATAGAGTATGAAGTGTAAGTACTTATATAAGTATAAGCCATGTAGCCTTGCAGGTATTTTGAGGTGAAACTCATTTTAAGGCATATTCTTTATATGTAATTTGTGCTTGTTATGAGATGTTGCCCAAGATGACATAAAATGTAATTCTAATAATATGTTGTAAATATAATTTCTGAACCAATCTGTAGTTCTTAATATACTGCAAATTACTTTCCTTCAGTGGTTTTCCAATTTAAATTAACTTATGACCAGTCACCACACCGAACAGGTCCTGATTACAAATCCAGAGCAGAAGCAAGTTAAATACACTTTTCTTTCTTCATCGATATTAGTTTACAGCTTAATTCATATAGTGCTGCACAAAGTTACAGATTTGAAAAATTTGATAGATCTATTTGAAATGTATTAATATACACCCATGGGTTGTACATTTGGGGACTGCCACAGGGATGTCTTACTTTCTGTGTGATATGTGAAAGACTTAGGATATCTTATTGTGTAGAAAGGCCCATTAGATTCGTGTGGTACTTTCCCTCCATTCACTAATGTTTCATTTCTTATTTATGAATAATGAATATTAACTGTAAGCAGAGGAATGCATCAGATGACCACAGGGTGCAAAACTATGCTTTTAGTCTTATGGAAATTGTAGACATTTTGATATTTCTGTAGCCACACTTTTTTGTGTATTTCCCCCTCTTAAAAAGAAAAACAAAAACAAAAAAACCAAAAAACAAAACTAGGTGCAGATGCTTAAACAGAATGTAATGTTTTTTTGTGGGTGGTTTCTTATACCTCAGTTTCTTTTTCCTGGCTGTTTGATTTTTTAATTAATTAATTTTTGACATGTTTTGGCCTTATATACCCATGTGTGGCATCAATAAAGGCTATATACTTAAAAATAATCCTGGCAAGTTGAGCATAGGTGCATAGCTGTAATCCCAAAGAAGATCGTATGTTTGAGACCAGTCTCAGTTACTTAGTGAGATGCTTAGCAATTTGGTAAGATACTGTCTCAAAAGAAAAAATTAAAAAGGAGTAGGGAGGTAACCCACTGGCAAAACATCCCTGACTTCAGTCTTTGGTACTGGGGTTAGGTGGGGAACAGATTCCTGGCAAATGCTTCTACTCTACAAGAGCTGGTTCGTGATAAGTTACAGTTCCGATGATCCTTTCATCAGTTGGTGACATTCTTGAGTTAGTTGGGTATAGTGAGCCATGTAGTTAGATACGGCAGGTTTCCAGCAGTTCTATCCCCGATCCCTATTTTGGCTTTGGAGGAGGTACAGAACATTTAAAATCCTCTCTTTTGAAATACTCAGTTGTTGTCAACCAAATTATCCAATTGTACTATAGAATATTAGAAGTTAGTAGGGAGTTAGTTTAAAAATAATTAGTGAAAAACAAAGGCAGCCCTAAAACTGTTCAGTACTGTATGTCAGACATTGGGATGAGTGCTTCTGGAATGATAACTTAAGAATTTTAGATGAGGGTCTGGGTTGTGACTCAGAGGTAGAGCACTTGCCTAGCATGCATGAGGTATACTGGGTTTGATCCTCAGCACCACATAAACTAAAATAAAGACATTGTGTCCACCTATAACTAAAAAATAAATATTAAAAAAAAGAATTTCAGATGAGAGGTTCCTCTATTAAAATGCATACTTGCCTGTCATCGTGGCATCCACCTGTAATCCAGAGACTGAGGAAGCTGAGTCAGGAGCATTGCAAGTTCAAAGCCAGTCTTAGCAATTTCGTGATGTCCCAAGCAAGTAATTGAGACCCTGTCTTAAAATAAAAAAAAAACAATATGCCTGGGGGTGTGGCTCAGCAGTTAAGCACCACTGAGTTCAATCTCTAGTCCCCTCTCCTGCCCCCCCCCCGTACCCCTCCAAAAAAAAAAAAGCATAATTACTGTCATAGCTGCTTTAATGTTTTGTCAATTTAGCACATATTGGGCAGGTTGAATTTAAACATGTTTCAAATTGAAATTGATTCCTGAAATTTAGTAATTTTATATGTTACAAAAGCAATTCTTTGTGAATCTTTTTGTAAAGATGATTACCTTTGGTGACATAAATATGTATTCCTTAAATTTTAAGAATTCTCGCTGATTTATATAGTAAGAGGGTTTTGGTGTTAAGAGTTTCCCTATACTTGATAATAAATTGTCTTTCTCTAAGAACACTAGAATTTATATAAAATTTTGAAATTTCATCTTAATTGACCCAATGATGCTTATATTTACTGTTTTTATTTAGGTTTTTTCCCAAGCAGTTCCCAAGGATGTGATGCATTTCTTCGCCACAAGATGACACTGATATCTCCATCAGTTTTGAAGAAATACGGTATTCCCTTTGACAAGGTATATTACTATTACTCTTTCATACATTTTTCATACATTCTTGTTTACATGACTTACATTTATGATGAGTTTAACATGTTAATGTTTCTTTAAGAAGTTGTTTAAAAAAGATGATAGGATGTGGGTAAATTCAATGCATGTTTTATAATATATCAATATATCATTAGTTTTTCTAAATCCTAATTTAAAATTAATTTTGTTTCATCATATATTTACTAGAGATTTCATGTTGTTATATTTCATCCTAATAACAATGTAAATAAAATATAACACATTCTACAAGTTGAGTTTATGCTTTATATTAAAAGTATTTTATATGAGTAATATAACTTTTGTGATATATTTTTAAAAAATCGGGAGAAATTATTTTTAGTGGTTGGTTAGAATCAGTTGCTCCTAAACACATTTGGAAATAATACAATTGAGACTTCATTATGGATAAAATTATTAACATAATAATCAGATATTGCTTCTGTAAAATATTTCTGAAAATTAAGTTTTGTAAAGCTCATTAATACTGTACCCCGTCTTTTTTGCATTCATAGTGGTTACTGGGTCAAATTTATCACGGAGCTTGAGCATTTTTACGTGAAGTAGCTGAAATGATACAAGGCCTGATCATATAAATAAAAGCGCTCCTCAGTGTTTGGAGGATTAAGTGCTTAGCTACTTATAGAAACATTAAAAAACTGCTCTTCTTTCTTAACTTTTATTTTATTCCCAGAATCCTTGCTTTTTTCCACTTTAGAAGCTTTTCACTTGTGACTGAATCATTACATCTTCTTTATCTTAGGTCCTTCAAGTAGCCTTGTTTTGGCAGGAGGACTCTGTTCAAAATGGGATTTTTCCAAGTGCGAGAATCTTTGTTCATCTTGAGGCAGCTCTCTCACCCTCACAGAGTAGTCATGTAGGGAACTCACTCTCTGTGTGATGAGTGTGTTTTAATCACACAGTTACATACTTGAAAAAGTTCAGCCTTAAAGCCATGCATAGTGGTGGAGGGCATGGTGTGGAGAGGAGGTGATGATGGGCTGCTGTGCTGTCAGTTGCAGAGGGCAGAGGCTCTGCCTACAGAGGGACTACTGTGGTGGGACTTTGTCTTACCTGCGATATCAGGCTTTTGTGAGTCTTGGACACATCATTACCAAATATTTCTTCAAGTGGTTGGCATGAGCTTCATTGATACTTCTACTGAAGCTGGGATATTAAAAGGCAACTTAGAGAAAGCCCAACTTTGCCTGCCTTAAGGAATGAACTAGTATCCCCTAGGACAGAAAATCCTCTTTGTAGGTTAGGCCTGGTTAAAGTATGGACAATTTTAGGGCTGGTCTTTGGTTTGGTGAAGGAACAGAACTATGGAGTTGGGTCTTTTCTCAGGATGGAGGCCTATGGATCTTATAGTTTCTTCCCAATATTGGGGATAGAAGGAGGTAGGTTCTGTCCTGCTTACCTTTCTGGGCTGTAGTTCCCTAGCTGTTCTGTGGTAGATTATATTAGATGTGTCAGGTTCTCATCTGGGCCTTTGTGGATGGGACATTTTGTGGCTTCTGTGCAAGTGGCAGGATGAGTTTTTAATACTGAGATGATGAAACACCAGTGATTTAGAGGGACAATTGGCAATGACACTTGTTCATATGAAATTTGATCACCATCTCAATGTTGGGCATGTGATGACACAGTGCTTCTTCAGGAGCTGCTTCTTTTGGTGATGGTGATATAACATGCAGCAAAGTAGTAAGTGGCATCACAGACTGGAAGTACACTTCCCAAGTTCATTCCTCCTTCTCTTCCTTCTTCTGCTGCAGTTCCTTCTCTTCTTCTTCCTCCTCCTCCTTCCTCTCTTCCTTCTTCTTTCTCCTCTTACTCCTTCTTCTTTCTTTTTGTTCTTCCTTCAACATCCTTCTTTCTCTTACTTCTTTCTTTCTTTCTCCTCCTTCTCCTTCTTTTACTTCCATTTCCCTCCTCCTTCCTCTTTCCTCCTCCTTCCCACCTTCCCTCCCTCTCCTCTTCTCTGTACTGGGGATTAAAACCAGGGCCTCATGCATGCTAGGCAAGTACTTTACCAGAGAGCCACATTCCCAGCTCTGTAACACAGTTTTTGTGAGCCTTTGTTTCTTCATCTGCCAATTGGGATTAATGATAGTAATTACTTAATTCTTTTCATTCTTATAATAGAGTTATATAAGAATGAATCCGGGGCCTGCTGAGAGGCTGAGCTGCCCCCTCCCCCTGCGCCGGCAAAGTAGAGGGAACTGTGACCACCCA